GCGGTTCAGTGAGTTTCTCTCCTTCTGATTCAAGCAGCTTTGCACTTTGTTTTTGGAAAAACACCACTTCTATAAAAACACACAAGAAACAAACTTAGTTTCAGTTTAGTCACGAGCTAGCCACAGGACTTTGCTGAACACAAACTCCTGTCATGGGAGACTCTTCTCTATCAATTCCTTGCCTCATCGCAAGGTGTCCTTCAGTCATGTAATGAGCAGGACCTGTATTAGCAGAAAACTGGTATGTTGGATGTCCAGCTATGCCAGTTTCTTGGCGCGGATTAGAGTAGACTGTTAAATTCATGTCCATAGCTCCATTTTGTCCAAAGTCCAAGGTATTAGCAGCCACTGGGCGGTTCTGATAGGCCTGATTGCCTTGGTTACCAGTAGAGGAGGAAGATGTAGAGGAAGAAGTAGTTGAGGAAGACAGGGATGTCATGGAGTGGTGACTGTGGCCCACCTCCATAGAATCCTGGGTGGAGGAGCTGTTTGTTGGAGAATTGTAGACTCTTGGCCTGGTCCGGCTACCCAAGGCTTGCTGTCCATGATGATGGTGGTGGTGGTGGTGATGGTGGTGGTGGTGAGAGCTATTTCCGTGATGATGATGTAATGCATTCTGTTGTTGAGGGGTTACATGGAAGGTGGTTTCTTGAACTGGATGGTTTTCAACAGTGACCTGTGTAGGAGCTTCAGTGGCTGTCCAACCAATTGGAGGAGGAAACTGCTGCCGAACCTATGTTAATAAGCAAAATAAAAATTAAAATGCTTAGTCAAATCTGTCCATTTGCCATATACGAGAGAGATTAAGTTATTAACACTTATGCTAACTTTTAAAAAAGTTAACCAAACCTTGCAGTTGCAAAATTACTCTAGAAATACAAGCACGTAGTCAAGAAGCACCTCTAATACACTTTTCTAATTCTACCTTATGAAAAATGAGTTCACATTCTGGATGTTTTTTTCAAGCAGTTTAAGTCCAACATGTGACCTTACTGTCAAAATTATAGAAGCAGCTTTACATATTAATAGTAATAAACAACATAATATGTGTACACCACCTAGACCACTAAGGTCCTGATCTCTGACTCAGGCTTCTCGATACAATAAGTATACTAATCTAAATTAATGTGTTGTAGTTCATATCTTGAATGCATTAGAAGAGTACTATTCAAACCTCCGGAAGAACACAGCTGATTAAAGATGACTAAATAGCAACATCTAGCTACACACCAATTTGTTGCAAAAACTAAATTTTTTGCTTGGGATATTTTATATTTTTATCTGTTCTATACTAAAATATTACCGAAATACTTGTAGTTAGTGAGTTGTTGCTTCTTTCCAAGAAGTACCGAATACATACTAATTCATCAATGATGATGTTGGTGAAGTACCTGAGCATCATAAAATGGCAGTAAGAACTCCAGCAGGAGTCCACTGAAGCACAAGCTAGAACAAAATCTTCACATATACACAGTCTATGGAAATTTTTATAGCTACTTGCAGTACTTTTGCCTAAGTGACTGATCTAACACACAAAGGACTACACAAAAGAGCTGGGGGTAAAAATTAAACCAAATCTGATGGCTAGCTCCATATCTAAACCACATCGGCCTCAAAATGAAAGTGTTAATTAGTTTTAGGGATTTAATATTCTTGGAAAAATCATATAAATCAAACGGACAAAAGCTCTACTTTCAGCATACCTGTGGGCTGTGTGTTTCACAGTCCATAGCTTGGACAGCAGCAGTGAAGTGTCCACCACTGTGTCGATGCTGGTGTGTGGGGTCTGACCGTGCCCTTCCACTGTTGCTTGTTCCAGAAGACCCACCTATAAAACAAGAATATGCACAATAATTAGACAGAAAATTTAAAGGAAGTGGTAAAACAATGACAGCACCTTTTAAACTGCAACAGCAAGGTAACAATAGAACACCTACAATAATCACTCACATATTTGCTCATCTATTTATTTTTCGTTGGAGCAGTTACCTGTTCTAGTTGATTAAAAAAAATTGTTTTGATGAGCATGACCAACATTTAAAAAAAAAAAAGACAGACAGAAAGAAGGAAAGAAATTACATTTATATGGGAAAGGCTCCTTTGATGTGACTAGGAAATAGAATTTTGTTGTCTATTAATGAGAAAAAAAAACTTACCTGAGCTTGAAGATGTACTAGAGGTGGTTCCTGAAGACTGTGACTGCTCCATGGCAGGACTCGTAGACACACTGTTACTTGTGTTTGTACCTTCGTCTGCTGTTTTCTTAAAGAAACTATGCTGTAGAGCATAATAAGGTTGAATTCGTGTCTTAGGGTCATAATCAAGCATCCTTAAGATGAGGTCTTTGAACTTCAAGTAGTCAGCTACAGTATGACCCGATTCCCCAGCACGACGTCCACCTGGTCCTCCTGTTTCAACTCCTAGTATATTGTGAAGTTTACGAGTTCCAGGTGGTTTGTATTCCTGTTGGAAAATTACAAAACACTTGAAATCAAGTTATATATTAAGCCTTGGATGTGCGTAGTTTAAACATGCCATAAAATGAAGTAAGTTAAATAAAAGGTAAAAAATTACCTAACACTGCAGAAAATATAATTTATTCAACTATCTTACAACATGGAATAATAACAACAATAAAGCTACACATTTAGTAAGGCAAGATGTAAAACAGAGTTAACATCTCACCTTTTTTTTTTTTTTTAAAGAAACAGGATGTATTAGCACCCTAGTTATGCAACCTACCCTTTTTCCATCTTTGGTCTTCTTCAAGTTCCAAGTGCCATCTGGCAACTTCTCAAAGAACTTTCTTGCTTTTGGTGCTTGGTCAAGGATGTGAGTAGGTGGTATCCCTAAAACTTCCACTATTTTATTCATTTGATCCACCTGTTCCAAACAAAGAATACTTGTGAAGAATATATGACAGACAGCTGAGCAATGCAACACAGAGAGATCCAAGTCACATGAGAAGCAAATGTTAACTACCCAGACAAGTTCTAAATTAACTGCGAGTTTAAGAAAAGTCCAGTATGTACAAAACAAATTAGTGAATAAGGAGTAAGAGAATTACTAGACTTCCCTAATTTATGCATTACAATTTAACACATGACAGTCATGATGAGAATGAACAACAGAAAACAAACAATCACATCACTTGTATCATAATATAGCTGCATACCTCATTTGCTCCACTAAAGAGAGGCTCTCCAGTGTGCATCTCCACTAAAATACACCCAAGGGACCACATATCAATTGCAAGATCATAAGGCATTCCCAGTAGCACCTCTGGTGATCGATAAAAACGACTCTGGATATATTGGTATATCTGAAAGGAAAGCATCTAAAGGTAATCCACACCATTGAGAGAGCACCACTATGATCCTGTATTACTAAACAGAACTACCATGAAATACGATTTTTGGTGTAGGGGAAGACAAAGTATCAGTGATACAAAAAAGTATTCCATTAATAAAAATGTGAGTGTTAATTCTTGAGAAAATACTAGCACTCATTTTCTCTCATTCTCTCTCTCTCTCTGAGAAAAAAAAAGTGCAGATTCACTCATGATGTCAGTATTTTGCGCTTTAGGGCTGATGAGTGTAATCTCATGCAATTACAGGAAATCATATAACATAATTCTAGTGCGATGTCACCCTACGAAAAACTATTCCACGAGCTACATCAGAATCACATAAGACTTCAGACAAAATTGATATTAAAAGATCAAAATCCACAATTATGATGTGATGAAATTATCAGGTGATTCTAGGAACTGGAAAATAACACATGGGCAAAAGCAGCCTCCTTCCCTCCCTCTCTCCCCCTCTATCTCGCCCACTTCACAAGACATATAATTCTATATTGATCCTAAACCTGGGGACTGGATTAAATGTAGGCATATTAAAACAATGAAAAAAAAAACAACTCCCAAACTTTAACAAAAAATAACCCTACCAAAAAATACCCCAAACAGAACCAAACTTAATATTCCAAGTATAATACAATTTTATTCAGCACTTTCCACAAAAGTACTGATAATTCTTTACTGCTTTTTAAGTTAACTTTAATGAGTAATTACGCTAGATTGTTGCATTTGTGCTTCTTAACATCTCAAAACTATCTTATTATTGACCTAAACAATCTAGCTCTCCTTTCACTGCTTTATGTCCTCCTTCACCCTGGGCTGAAAAGTTTATAGTTTATAGCAAAAAGTCTTTTTATTAATCTAAATATATGCCTCAGTACTGCTCTCAATACTATAATTAACATTCTGACCTGCTCTGCCCAAACACAGCACTGGAAAAAGCACGAGGGTGCTAGTGGCCCGTCCCAACTTCTCAGGAGAGAACTGGGGAATTCTGTTAAAAGTTTGCTCATGAAGTTTCTTAATTCTTCTCATATAACGATCCCATTTGCAGTGTTACTAGTTATACATCTAAAACGTCACCTCTTTTGCAAATGTTGCATATTTTGGGAGGCTCTTTGGTTTGTTTGGGCTTTTTTAAACATCCAGCTTTCTAACAGCAAAAAGGCGTCATGCACAAATTTATAGGTAAAACTGCCAAAGGTGCACTATTAAAGTCTTAACTTCTCTCTCTAGCAGTCTTCCTTACCTCCTCAGCTAACAATTTGTTTTCAGTGCAAACAAATAAAGGAAAGTTAGCCAGATTAGAAGGGGTCACTTGCTCAGCCAGATGTAATTCTTCCAACCATGAAAGAGTCTATGTGTACTAGGACTATAAGGTGCAAGCTGAACAGGTCATCCTGATAAATATTTCAGCAAGCAAACTGCCAGTACAAATCAAACACTGCCAGTACAAATCAAACACAAAGTTCTTCCTAAAGAAAACAAGCTTTGGCATGCAAGCAGAATTACCTACGATCTTCATCTCTTAATTATTGTATATATTTTAACGTTACTTAAAGTAAATATAGAGCTACTTGTCTATGCTGGACAGACCATGCTCAACAGATTCTAAGAGCTCAAATAAAAAATGCATTCATCTTCCAAGTCCATGAACAACAGGACACGGTTACAAAGTTTTGGACAACTATTTAATAGTACAGATCTATCCTAATCTGAAGAACTGTTGCCAGAAAGCAATTCAGCCTTTAGTCCTGGAAATGCTTTGCACATAATCACTTTTACTTGTAGTAATACCACCACTAAACTCAATTTAGTCTTTCCATAGTTGCTAGAAGTGTTTGGAAAAATGGGTTAGTTATAACCAGTATCTTTAAAAAGTCAGCTACTGCACTGCCTCAACCCTCAAATACCTTACCTCCAAGGCACACTAAATAGACAACATATCAACAGTGGAAGGAGTAATACATATGGAATAAGAAAATAATAAAGAGTACTTTATTTAAAAGCACTGCAGGATTCTACAATAAGGTGCTGATGCATTCTGCATTAACATAGCATGAAAACACAACCAAGGAGAAAACAGAGACGGAAAATTTATCACTATGGTGCAAGTTTATCTATTATGGCACTAAAATTCCTATTTAAAGCTCCTATGGACTGTTGTTCTCTAAAAGCCTATGTAAAAATTAGTTAGGATTTCATTTAAGTCCTCATTAATAAAGTTTAAATTATCCAACTAGGTATTATGACTTTAAAATATTCATCTTTTCATATGTATCCAACAGTAGCATAAGACAGTAGCATACACAGAATAAGTAATAAGAGTTTTTATGAATACTCACCCTCTGTCCAAGTTGACATGAACTGCCAAAATCAACAATCTTGATAGCGCTTCGTTTGGGGTTACAGAGCAGGATATTCTCTGGTTTTAGGTCACAGTGAATGATACTAAGTTCAGGAGTCGCCAGAAAAAGCAGTGCAGTGCACATTTGCTGTGCAAATTTTCGTGTCAGGTTCAGTGAGACACCTCTGAAGTTGGTGTTCCTCAACAGATCATACAGATTGTAGGACAGCATTTCAAAGACTAAGCAGAGATGGTTTCGGAACATGAAGTGGCGCTTCAAATGCACTTTAAAAAGGGAAAGAAGAAAATTAACACATATCCTTGTGATAAGTATGAAAATACTAATTACAGCACAATGCTTAAACATTTTAATCAATATGTTGGAAGCTGGCCTGTGAGTAAGATAACGTAGGTACTTTTTTTTTTTTTCTAGATTTCTGGTTATTTATGGCATATTGCCACCATGCCTAGAGTATAGGTGGACATTGTACCCATCTGAATTGTCCTTAAAGTGTACATCAATAAAGCTATATTAACCAAAAGATTATTTAAAAGATAAAAATCGATATTTTTTTAAAAATAAGCTATCACTTTCCTATTAGCAAAGGCAAATACGCTTGTGGGTAAATTAAAATACCAAAAAAAAGACAAGTGCAAACTGTGTAATGCAATCTTTGTCACAAGGGGGAGTTATCTCTTCCATAGGAGAGTTGATTTCTCCACCTTCCTAAAGCTAAAATTATATTCAGGTCCAAGCAGATTAGAAACAAAGGGCACATACAGTGGCAGTCTCAACAATAAAGCAGACATCACACTTTAGACTGAATTATTTATTTATTAGGAATTTCCCTTACATTGACAGGGAAAATATCTGACTGATTACTTTAAAACATGCTAAGATATTTCTGCAATTTATAAGCCATGACTTCAGTTGATTACTTCAATTAATAAAACTGATCAGTATCCCAAAGGCATTGTATTCTTTTCAATCAGGCATAATATCAGTTTATGGAAGCAACCGATGCAGTCTAAATCAAATACATTTTACATTAAATAGGTGAAAAATTCATCACATTAATCTCATTGGAGGCAAGTAAGGTTTACCAGTCTGTCAGTCATTCAGGTTGGTTGCCACAAGTAAAATAAAACTGAAATAGGGAAAGTACTTCAAGCCTCAGATAAAAAGCAACACACTCCCCTTTTTGTCATGATGAAATCCTGAACCAGTATCACACAAAGAGAATTCAGATTTTCAATTAAGGTCATTGCTTGGTGTCCTATGGATTTAGTTTTCTTCTCCATTACCATAAGCCAGTTCTTCCATGCATCCCTTATAACTTACCTGTAACAACACCATTTGCTTCCACCCTGATGCCAGTTCCTGCAATGCATTGTCTAAGCCTTACAGATTTTCTCATCTCTGCCATACTTCCACTACCCTCCCACCATGAACGCACCAGCACTTTCTCATGCCCTTGTGATCTTCCTACACTTGATTCCAATTCCTCCCCACACCACCTAAGCTTGCTGGACCTGCCAACTTAGCAAGAACTATGACTTACACCAACTGATTTGTAACTACTAGCATGCTACTGGCCAGCTAGTACCACAAATTGCAATTGTCAGAACTTTTTTCCTTTTTTTTTTTTTTGTTTTGTTTTGTTTTGTTTGTTTTGTTTTGTGTTTGTTTGTGTTTTTTTTTTTGTTTTTTTTTGTTTTTTTTTTTGTTTCAGCTCTGCTCTCTATATAAAACCATCCTGCCTTAACTCATACAGGAAAATTATATGATGCTGTAGTCCATTTCATTTTACCTGATGTTACAAACAGACTCTAGTCTAAAGATTTAAGATCCGAGAGCTTATTTGATGATGCTTATAGTGTCTTTTACTTGCTGTGTACTAGTCTGAAACTGGTCAAGTATTTAACATTCCTGAAATATTTTTTTAATGCAGTATGCAGTCAAGTTTAGGTTTTGCTTTATCTAAACACATCATTAACAAATTTCAGTTAAAAACACCTTAAAAATTTACACTGAATACATAAAACATTTTCTAAAGACGATATTCTGTAAAACAAGATAAATTGTCTGAATACTTGTCAGAGAATTTAATACCTATATATTAGCGTTATTTCAAAAGTTTCTTTCCAAACTACACCAAAAAAAAATTGGTACTTTAACAGATACATGAAAATCAGGAAAGCATAGTTGTTAGTATTTCAGCTTCTAGAAACTAAAGGATGCTTAAAACCAGATTCATTTTCCTTAATCATGCTCTTCCATACTTCTCCATCTCTCTTTACAACATGATGCTGCTCTCCTTCCACCACTCGCCCACTCCAGAAGATAAACAGGATTTAATAAACTCTTTACAGGAACTGGCTTAATTTAATAATTATTATAAAGTTCAAGTAGCATTATAATAATAAGTCAAGGGAAGAGCATTCCAATATACAGGAACAGCCAAAACTGTAAGCTTTAAAATATTTTCTGAGCTATAAATGGGCAAGTCTTAACTTTCAAACAAGTCTTATCTCAGCTCACACAAACTTTTGAGCTTTTTAAACACACACGATCAAAAACTAATGATCAAGCTACTAGAACTGCTGTATGATGCTGGTTTACATTAAATATGCATGCTCTTATTCATGACAGTTCTGAGACAATTTAAGTTATATTCAAAGTAGTGAAAGAGATGCAAAATACCACAGATTACAGCTTCTGTGGGAAAGCCAGTCCATGGCAACTTCTTCAGGTGTCCATAGCATTAACTGGAAAAAGAAAATCCTACAAAAGATCTCAGTGCTACAACGTAACAAGTCTGTTATCCCAAATAAGTTTAAATATTCTTCTGGATTTGGTCCTGTTGCAAAGAAAACTGGAAAATCTGTACTAAATATTATCAATAATTTTAGAAGTTGTGTTATTCTTTTCATTTCTTTAGCACCAGAAACATTCCATACTACACAGCAAGATCTAAAATATTAGAATTTGATTAAATAAAAATGAAAAATAACTATAAAATACCTATATAGTACTTCATCTCAGTGTCATGTTTGTTCATAAGCTCGAGCAGTCGCACTTCAATCTGGGCTTGGTTTAAGAAAGCCTTCTTGTTTTTTATTATTTTGATAGCCACCCACTCCTGTTCCACTCGGTCATAAGCCTTTACAACCTGAAAGAGAAAAGTAAAATAACATCAGTAAAATCTGTCAAGTTTTCAAAATACAGCAAAACTCACTTTCTAAACCTTAATTTTATGAAAACATTTCTAGAACTTTTGTTCTTTCCAGTTAAATTTATTTTCTCCTTCTCTTACTCAATACCACAATAAAGTGACAATCAATAATGTGAGATTTATAGCAGTGATGTCACGAAAGAATAGAACTGAGGCTCCGCTGAGCTCCACTAAGACAAGCTTTACACACCACTGCAATTATCAAATCATCAAAACCAATACTGTAGAACAACTGGCAAGATCTGAGAAAAAAAACTAACAAAAAACAACAAGAGAAAAAGCTACATCCTCCTTCCAGTCTTCTTCTCAAGTCTTGGCTACACCTACAGTCAAAACAAATGTTTGTAAGTGACATTTGTAATAGGTAATCCCTAGCTCTATTGTTTTTATTTAAAACCTCAAGCCAAACAGCTACAAATGTGAACTGATAGTAAAAGGCTGAGGGTTTGCTCATTATAAAATGCTTTACCAGACAGACTTACTTATTGAAGTATATTCAGATGTTGCATGTAGTAAAAAGAGACAGCACAAAATACTGTCTTGAGCAAGCACTCGGTGTAACATGATTAAGAAAAAAGAATTTCATTTCAAAATGAAACAGGAATACCACTTCAAATGAAATGCATATTAGGAGTCACATGAATTACAGATTGTTCATCTGACACACTTTACCTGTCCAAAGGATCCTTTGCCTATTAAAGAGTCGATTTCATAACGATCCATCCACTTCTCCCCATTTTTTACAATGTAGTCATAGTTGTCATCATCATAGCCATCATTGTAAACTTTTCTCTCCTTTTTGTGACTGGAATCATCTCCTTGGCCCTGCTGATGCCGCCGTTTTTTTTTTGCATAGTAAACCTAAACGTGAAAAGTGTATTGCTTAGCAGCACTTTTTAGAACATCGGTTCAATAAAGAATAGAATTAGCTTTTATAACCATTTTATTTAATCCTGTGATTTTAAAATGCAACTTCTACTACTGGAAAAACAAACAATCCTCTCCTGCTATCACTCTATTTCAAGTCAAGCCATTATACCAAAGCAAAGTCTTGATAAATAATTTAAAAACTCAGAAAGCAGATCTAAATAAATGTACTAATAATACTGAGCCCTAGTGTTCATAAGTGCAAAAAGAAATGATACATCACAGTACACTATATACACTGTAAAATTTAAAATGTTAATTAGTAAGGAAACAAGAGTTATCAGCTGCTCTTTCCACAATACTGGAAAAGAAGAATTCCAAGGAAGTCAGCAATCACTGCAGAAATCCCTCACATTCTCTACAAGTGCCAAAGAGTTAGAAACTAACCGATGCTTTCCTATATTAACCACATTAATTTTTATATTTTACATTTGCCAATAATATTTAATAAGGAAAACTTTATTTCCTTAAAAATCCTTTGATATATTCATACAGGTTGACAGCACGAGCTAAGAGTCCTCTGCCACTTCTATTTCCTTATCATGTATCAGAAAAACTCAACGTAAAAAATTTACTATGTGCTGGACAGAAAGTAGGACCATGGTATCAGTCATCTCAAATGACATGCGTACAACAGAGAGAAAGCTTGATGTTTCTTATTTCTTATACTGTAATACACTGTAAACAAAACCTTCACATTGATACAGAAGACAAAGATAGCTGAAACCATTACCTCATTAATATGCTTGTATGTTTTGATCAAATCTACGGAGAGTTTCCTCAGTGGAGCAGTGGCTGGATCACGAAAGGTTTGGGGCATCCGCCTCTGTAATGTGACCGTATCGTAACTTAGAAAAAAACCTAGGACTTTAATGATGTAATTACTATACCAAATCTTGCCATTCCTCACAGAAACGAGCTATTTCATTGTAACATCATTTTTTTAAGCTGACATCAAAAAAAGTAAAACCAAATATAGGAATCCAAAGAAATCAACAGCTTAGTTATTTGTTCTCTTTTTTGGGTCTACCATGCTTTGCAAGACTCAGGCCTAAGCATAAATCTTAAAATCTGAAGACATCTGCAGCATGCACATGAACACCATACCTACTTTCAAAGTTTCTAAATAGTGTTCCTGAAAAGGTAGTTAAGTTCCTCATTTGTGTTTCCTAAAAGTGACCACATTTAGAACAAAATAATCTTCAACAGCAGGCCAGTTTTTTATTGGTTTCCTGAAGAGACAAGACTTAGGAGTGACAAAATTACTTGTGTGCCTCTTTTTTTCTTTGCACATATATGCCATGTAAATTCTGGATCTAACAATCAACTTCTATTCTTCCTTACAGTTTATTTGAAATCTTGGAAGATAAAAGCTCCTGACAAGGTAAAGCTCCTGAAAAGGTTAAGTTCCAAGTGGCATGCTGAGGCTGAGTAGTATCCTCAGTGAAGACAGGGCAGAAAAAAACAAGCCACATAGCATTTTATCTGGCTAAAGCTATGTGCTCAGCAGACACTTAACAGCAAAACTGTACCACCAGACAAGCTCTGGGAACTTCTCTGTCTCACCCAGTGAGAGGGTCAGACAGGGAGCTAGGAGAAAGTGGTGAGGTTAGTGTGACTGGTCTCTAGCCTGCCTCTCTCTATTCTCTCTCTTCTCAATGACAGAAAACCACAGGGCAAGTCTAAGCAACTCCACTGGAGTGGAGTTTGTTTCATGTATGTTAAAGCTTCTTCTATATCCTTACTCATTATAAGCGAGTTAGGTGACCTCGCACCACCACAGTCAGCCTTACAACTCTCATCTCCCACCATCTCATCTCATGCCATCAAATATGCTCACGCTCACAACTGTTCACTTCCAAGTGCCTAAACTCATCTGCTGCCTCCTATTACAGCTAAGCTGATATGCAGCCTCCTGCAGAGCTGAGGAAAGAGCATAAGCTGTCAACAAAAACAATGAAATGGATTTTTATACCAGTATTGCTGAACTAATAAACAAGCTTAAAAAACCTAACTGCTCCTCCATCTTTTATGGTATAAATATTCACAATGGTGCCTGTGCAAATAGCTCAGATTTCTTCTCAATGATCAAATAAAAAAAGTTGAAGTGACCCAAAAAAGTTCTCACAAACAAAAGCAATAAAGAGTTTGTGCTTCTGAAACTGGACCTGAATCAGATATCCAGGCAACTATCTGGAAAGCTAAAGCTCACGCTCCCCCCTGGTGGGTGCACGGACTGGGTGGTGGAAAAAAGAGACTGCAAGCAAGAGAGAGAAAGACAGAGAGCAGACACAAGCAAGAGGGCTAAATTGGTGGGGAGAAGCAAGACAATTCCAGCAAGCCTGCTGCATCTGCATGAGGCTGGGACTCCCAACAGGTACAGAACTCAGTGGAGCTTTAGTGGAGCTCCTGAGAGTCAGCAGTTCAAAGCTTTGATGCACACCGCTGCAAATACACCCATGGAACATTTCTACAACCCTGCAAGACGGCTGACTTGTGGTCTTTTTCATTAGGCCATGTTCCCCAGAGACAGCGCAACACAGTTCAACTTCCCTCAGGGAATTTTAACCCAAGTGGTGGGTATTTGTTGCAATCAATTCACTTTTGGGTACACCCAGTACCATCAATTTCCCCTAAGCAGGTTTCCCAAATTAATTCAGTTTTTATGAAGCACACCATTTTTTAAACATCAGGAAAGTCTGTTTTAAAGTTTCCTAAACAAACTATTTGAAATTCACAAAACATTTTTGTTTCTTCCTCTCATCTGTCAAACAAATGTGAACCGTTAAACAAATCACACTTAAGTACCACCTCTTTTGGTCCTCCTCCATGGCACTGTTAAACAACTAAACAGCATCTAGTCCTAATGCCAACTGTCACTATTACAGGCTTTTCAAACGCAAGTATTTCCTTTAAATTTCTTAGTCTGATTTTAAAAGATCATTGGAACACAGGAACACTGCTAGATTTTGCTGGTAAAAGAAACCATGCTATGGTGCACAAATATTGGCAGGGACTGGTCTCTGTCCTAGGGTGACATGACCAGCACAGGGTCTTCATTACACAGCCAATGAGTTTTGAGGAAAGAGTCTCAGTGTGGAAGAACTCCATAGCTCACACCAGCTGTTCAAACTTCAGGCTGCTCTAATTTGGAAAGGGAATTTGTAGGAGGAGTATTCATATTTATTTTCTAATTTACAAGTCGAATTTTCTTGCTTACTTAAAAATCTTCTAGTTGCAACTCTTAAATAAGTAGTTTTTGGGAAAAAAATATTAAATTTTATTTCTTGCTGTTCCCTTATAAATAAGTAAAATTCTGCATGCTACCCCTATGTTGCTTGCAGCCAGTACTTTATTTGAAAGTTGTCCTTTTAACTGCGCAATTTGGACAGTCACACATTTCTGAAGACACACTTGAACCAGTATGAACTTTTTAACAGGTACTATATTGCTATACTAATTTCATAAAGTTTTACGGTGGAAGAGGAGGAAGAATTGACCTTTTCTTCCTCCCCCTGTTATACTGCTAAGTTTGTAATATTCTCTTCTTTTCCAAGATACTCAGATTTTTGCTCACTACCCCCTGATGATGGAATTCTATGGAACAAAGTGGTCATTATCCATTTTAGACAGTAACACTCTCAAATTATCATTGGAGTAATATTGATTTCTCTCCTGGCTTCAAAGAACACTCAACCACAAAAAGACAAAGGAAAAGGAAAAATCCAAAGAAAAATCCTGTTGCACAAGCTTCAGTCTCTATCTGGTGGCCAGACAGCAACACTGCAACCTCAGATCTCCCTGAAGATAAGATCACAAATCAGAATATATGCTCGTACTTCAAGACTGAGAGAAAAGAAATTACCTTTGTTACAATTATATATGTCAGTAAATACCCATCCTACCCTGACTGGTCCACACATACACCTCAATTGAAGCAGTGCAGCTACCTGGGATGGTAACATGATGAAAATTACGAGTAGGGAACCAAAATTTTATTTTCTTATCTTTTAACCAAACACACATGACAGACTGCTGAGAAGTGACCTGTTAACTGTTCTAACACAAAGAAGAATAAAATGAACACAAAAAAAGGCAACCACAACCATGAGCCCCACTTATGTGTACTCAACACATCTGGGACAAATCATGGTTTAAGGAAACTATGACTTTTAACTCAAGTATGTTATTTTAACATAGTCGTTGAGGTTTAATGAATGAAGAAACAGACAAGCATTTCTCTTTGGACATATGCTTTGTTATCTAAAAACCAGATGGCAGTGTCCCTTACTAAATGCATTTTATATTGATTATGGGAAATTCTGAAGGAGATGGACAGATAGATAGACAGACATAGATTATGTTAATGAAATGCTTTAATTCATTTTTTTTTAAGAAAGAAAGATCCATGACCATCCATATTTGTTTAAAAAATATATATATATATTCTGCTTGTGTATAATACCTGTTTCATTTTACAAGGAGAACAAATAATGAAGAATTTATAAGGCTAACTTTTAGCAAGAATTCCAACAGTAATGACCTACTTAATAGATTCCCATATTAAAGAACAGAATAGAGCAATCTCATCTCCTACACCACTTGCTATTCAGAACCCTTCTTGCATCATAATCTGGGATAGGAAGTCAATGCTAATCCCATTTCGTGGTGGGCAGCCACATAATAGATGGTGTCTCCACAGGGTCAACAAAATAGATGTTTAATTGCTAGAGCCACAAGCCACAGTAACAATTCCCCATAACAAACAGCAAACTTCAGATTTTTAGAAAAATGCCCAAAGAGAAAAAAGCATGTGTGTGCCAGAGAACAAAACAGGAGACTTCTTCAAACTGACTGTTCTCAGAGCAAGAACTGTATGCAGGTAGGGACGGAATTTCAGTCCAATTATTTTAATCATTGACTTGTGTTCTGTGAGTATTTCTCTCTTATTCTGGCTTCCTATTCCAAATAAATAAGGTTGCTGAATAAAAATAATAGTAAGAAACAGAGAAGTTCAAAGTTAAATCGAAGTTAAATAAAAAAAAAAACAGCACAGAAAGGCGGCTCATCTGCCAAGACTTTATCCTGCCTGATTCAGCTCAACCATTTTTTTTAAAAGCTGTGGGGAGCAGGGCAAGTAAGAGAAGGGGAATAATAAACCCCACTCTGAAATCCTTGTTGCCAGAACATAAACATATTCTTAAAAAAAAAAAAAAAAAGATGGAAAGTGAGAGGAATGCTTTTACTGAAATGAATTGCATGCTCACACACCATGACAGTCTGGTGAAGTCTCACCATCACTAATCATAATATTGCCGATTAGGGAGCTGAAGGAACCGAACTAAGGATTTGCTACTGCCTGCTAAAACACATTAATGCTGTAATGATCTAGTTGGAATTAATAAAATCTCTGGCCAATATCTGGCCAGTAAAACCTACAGTTTTGCAGGTGATAAGATACATATATAGATAGACAAAGTGGTTTAGCAGTCACTTGACCTTTGAATTCCACCTGCTTCATGAAAGCTAAACTGCTGGAATTTGTAACGAGAAACTGTCCAGGAAGCTCACCTCAACTTCTTTATCAGCTAAATCAATTTTCTAATCTTTTGTACTTAACTGAAAAAAAGTTTCAGGCAATCTGAGCATCCACGATGAGTATAAACATTAGCACAGCACAAAAGAAATGCTTGCTGAAGCTGTGAAAACTTTGAAGCTCTTATCTTATACACACATCAGGCTATGTTGAACTCTCAAGATGTGACCACTAGAAACTGGACAAAGAAATATTACTGTTTGTAACTGCTAAAGGAGAATGGTCCCTCAGATCCCCTCTTTTCTATTCACTCTAGGCCACATGCTCTTACTGCTTTCCTGAAGCTGGCTCTGGCACTTGTCAGAGAGGTAAAACCACACAGCCAAAAGAAGGACCCTTACTTGCCAGAAGGCCTAGTACTTGGTGAATCACAGATTTAAAGTAAATCCCTACAATCCAGCAGTTTCGAGAAGCAAAAGACTTAAGCCAAACTACTGAAGAAAAAAAAAAAAATTAAAAGAACAGAGCTGGAATGTTTTAAAAGTAATTTAAAACCTCATAAATAAGTGAAAAACAAAGCAATCTCGTTGGCTTTGAAGTATCTTCCTGTTATTTGTTCCTTGTCAATGATGAGACGAGTAAGCTTTGGCCACCATAGCCATAAAGCAATAGGTGCAAATGAATATTATGTAAACAATATTTTAAGCGTAACATATAATGTAAATACATATAATATATATATAACTTGAACATAAATTGTCATTACTGTTTCCTAACCTTTAATCTGCAACTGTGAATGACTCATAAAATACCAGAACATGGTCTGCAAGCCATTACAAATCAAAAACCAAGCAGGACAGACCAGGAATAAAACCAATAAATTAACATTCAAGGCCTAACTTCCCCATTATTTGGGTATGAATGAAAACCATTACAGGAACTTCAACAAGACAATACTCCTCCAAAAAAGGAGTCAGTCCTCAGTAAAGAAAGATCAAAAAAAACATGAAAAAACCACAATAAGGAAGATCATCTTTGCTATTTATCAAAATTACAATTTACAGAAAATGCTGCTGTTCTACATGCTAAAACTTAACAGTTCCTCTTCACAACTGACAAGCAGTATGCTCTTGTATCTTGCTGCTGCTAAAGAAATTTACTTTCAGAGAGAAACTACTTGCTGTCATTTCTAGAAAACTTCAGCATCCCAAAAGCTGAGAGATTTCATCCATGTTACTTCCAAGCAAGTAGGTTTTAGCTGGATTTGGACAAAATACGCTGGTTACAAGTTCGGCAAATGTAGCCATAGCGAAAACAACCTTTGTAACACTGCTATTCTCAATTCCGTCAATGGAAGATTCACTCAAAGACATGATAAGGGGAGAGGGAGAGGCCGAGGCCCAGGCCCAGCTTCCCCGACAAAGGGCTCCTTGCCGAGGCCGGCGGCAGAGCAGGAGCAGGAGCAGGAGCAGGAGCAGGAGCAGGAGCAGGAGCAGGAGCAGGAGCAGGAGCAGGAGCAGTGCGGCGCTCTGGCCAGCAGAGGGGGGCTGGAGCCCGGGAAAGAACTGTGCCCGGCAGGGCCGCCACAGCCTCCGGGAAACTCCCGCTTCCCCCGGCTGCCTACCGGACCGACAAGGTGATGGAGCACTCTCAGGAGCAAAGGGGCTGGCAGCCCGCTGTTCATCAGCTGGTGGACGCTTGCACCCAGATGGGCTACTTTTAGGCTGTGGAAACCGGTAGTACCAAAGCTGACCTAATCGCTCAGACTGTCAAGCCCTCTAGAGCAGACATCCAGCCTATTTCTTTGGCTGCCCAAGTTAAAAACATGATCTTCTTAATCAGACATGTGCTTCAAAACATGGAAGTATGCCACCTTATGTGATTACAGAGTGTGCCATTACTACATGATTAGTCTGGCGTCAGACACTTTAGTAACGCACAAGCATGTAACAATGTGAAAGAATTAGTGGGATTCCAACAGAGGAACGACCACACAAGGGAATTCAGAAAATGATCTCTGTGAGCATTTTTCAGAATTGACATATACAGGAGAGAACTGCTTTTATCAAGGACAGTAAGAAACAACTTGGAGGCTGCCATATATTCAAGTCAGAATCTTGAATAAAAAGGATTCCTGCAGAAATATCATAAATATGGAATCTGTAAGATGTATGCATCATTTAGACCTGAAAACCTAGATGGTATTCAGATTACATCTGGACCAAAAGGCAAGGCAGTAGTCCACAGCAATGGAAAAGTGTAAGACAGCACAAAGCCTTCAACAATAGAGGGTTGTGGCTTTCATAAGAAGAAAAGAAGAGTAAGAGTTATGTTTTAATAGAGATGAACTAGAAGTGACAAAAGGCCTATGAAAGAGTGAAATGCTGGGGTTTGAACCCCAAGCCCCGAATTAAGGCTGACATATGGGTGATTCCCACAGTCCTTCATAAAGAGGTGGTGAGTTTGCCTTATAGCTTCCCCCCAGGGTGTGGCCGGCCCTGCAGGGAGAGCCATAAGGGAAATGAGCCCCAGGGGTCCCCCATTGAGTTGACAAAGGTCAGGTGTCTGCTTGGGGATAAAAGCTGGGACCACTGGCAGGGAGTCAGGAGTGTCTGTCGCGGGAGTGCACTCCACAGAGCTGCCTGGTTCAGGGAAGACCTCCTGACTCTCCCTGGAGCTGGACCCCAGTCTGTTTAGACCTTTGCAAACGTGGGCTGATCAGGGGAGAGCTGCCATGTGAGCACCTTTTTCTTATATGTTTAACTTGGTGACTTGTCTGTTTCCCATGCCAACTGTGGCCAACCTCGGTTCACTGTTTGTACCACCTGTTGTGGGACGAGTTATGTCTTTTGTGGGATCGCTGGGGTTGGTGTCAATTATATCCCAGCTGATTGACTTGTTTGTACCCGCGGCAGTCATTCATGTCACGATATTTTTGCTTACAATCCAGTCTACTTATTGGTTTTGCTTCCTGCTGGCTGTATCATTCTTGTTGGGCCTTGTCTTTGGCAGAACAAAGAGAAAGAACAAATTATTTATTTTTTTTTGCACAGAGACAACGCCTAAAGCAGATGACCTGATTCACTAGCATAAAGGTGCTAGCTGGATTTGGCTTTGTAGGTAAGATTAACCGGCAGTGCAGTGCAAAGGCAAAAAGCCATTGAGACTTCCCAACAGAGGCTCATACAGAACCTACATACCAACCTGGAATCTGTTGAGGAGAACTCTTTATGGGACCCGTTGATGGGAGAAGCACAAGAACTCAAAGAAGAAAAGAGCCACAAAAGGCAAGTACTCACAAGACTGCAAAGAGCTGCCCACCATCAAAGTCAAGGGTGCTGAAAGCAGCTCTCAAAGAATCAAGCAGTAACAATTCTGAGCTGCTTAGGCAGAGGACTTTAACAACACAATTACAGTAAAACAGCAAGACAGACAGAAGTTACAACGCAGAAGAAACAGTATGAAACTGGAAAAATAAAAACACTGATTCTATAAAACAGTGTTAGTAGTGCAAAGACAGCTTGACTGCCATTATCAGGGTGGCCAGCTGGTCATTTCTTCACATGGATAATGTCCTGGAGCCAATCACAGCCTTCTCCTTACATTTACATCCTCATTTTAGTGGGCTGCATTCTTTGGTTAGCAATTCTTGGCTATTCTCTGAAAACTATTCTTCAGCTTTCTATTATTCAGTTACCGTTTTTAAAGCCATTGTGACCACAAAAAGCAATGGATGGTGATACATCCTAAAGCTCCTTGATCTGGCTTTTTTGGTTTGAAAAGGTGACCAAACAAGTACTAATGTATGCTAAAGCTCACAAATGTGATTACAGATTATAGCGCTTAGTACCCAAAAAGGTTTAAGGAATACAGAAAATTTTATTAATTGGCAGATTGATTCACTAACCTCATTGTGGAGATTTTGGGGGACTTTTAACCTTAAAGTCATATAAAATAGCTTTGTAGATTTTTCACACTACATAGTATTGTATATTGTATACAAGCAGATTTGTCCCTTCTACTGCACGGCTCTCATGAAAGTAGCAACATCCTTTGCCAGTCCATTCACTTTGCCATTCTTCAGAGAGCTCTAGTCATTACAGATCTCCAAATCCTAGCATCAAATAACCTGATACCTAGTTTGACCATTCTCACCCTCTCTAAGCCTTCCCTCTTCTGTGTCCTCCTACAGAGCAATACCCACATTTCATATGTGGATGGTACTGTAGATTTTTCTACCAAAGCCATCCTGAATACAGGAACAGGCCCAAATATGGCAGCAGCAAAAGATTTCACTCTCCATCCTCTTTAAGTAGAGCATGCCTCATCAGCCTGCAACAAATTTTGAAGCTCTCACTTAACAGACTTCTGGGTTCTAAGCTTTGAAATCTATCTGTGTTCATGTCTCTACAACTGGGCTGTGCCATTTTCAAGGAAGCAAAAGAATTCTCTCTTACACCAGCCAATACTAGTTCTTGTAGCTAACAACCGAGCACTGTCAGTCAGGAAACTACTTCAGTAGTCCTAGCAACTCAAAAGCAGTATGGAAGAAACACTGGCCTTCACAGCCAGAAAGCACCTACAATCAATATAATCCCTGTGCTTATTTTACCTCCTTGCAATAGTAAGTTAGTAGTAGAAAAGTCCCTACGATAGCACAACTTTAGACTTCGTTGTTTTGGGTTTTTTTAAAGTGTATCTTCCTTAACTAGATATGTCTTTTGGGCAAATCTCTCTAATCCAAATACACATCAGTGACTGCATTAAAACTGTCCATTATAACAAGTAATAAAGTAATCACAGTCTAACATTAAATTGCCCTTAAAAAATAAAAGCTATTATTAAACCCTCTTTCCAGCTCTCCATTTGGACAATCTTTCTCACCTCCCATTTCAAAAACATTAAAAGTAGCATAATCATAATAAATATGTACATATGCCCTTATCCTGTAATTTATGCGTGTATAACATATTTAGAGAAAGAATTACTAGATCTAAAAATGACTTTGTTATCACTTACCTGATTTGTTAATGTTAGAGGTTGCTGAATCTGGTCAGCATATGATAAGGCAGAAACCTGTTGGTCATTTATGTTCTGCTGCCGACGATCGCTGTACTGCTGATGCGAATGGGACATCTGTCCAGCCATCTGAAGGCCAGCAGCATGGAATGAAAACGATGGTGCAAGCCGAACAGATGAAGGTTTGCATGCTGAAGTCTCTCCTCCTGCAAAGACAATGTGATTTTTTAATGCAGTTAACAGCTTGAAAGTATTTACCTCAGTTAGCCTCCTCTCCGAGCTTACAGAGCTTATAAACATGTAGACCTATGAATTTTCATACACAATGAACCCAGAAAATCACCCTCATGTAAAGATCACCTAGCTGAAGTGCTGCTTCCCATTTCCCTGTAATAACTTACTTATTAATAGACTATTTCTATCTATCTGTAACATCCCTTTTCTAGCATCTTCACCTACATGTCAACACTCCATTGGAATTTGAGAAGGTTTATTTTCAAAGTTATTAATTTTGTGCATGGATTCCATCAAAAGCCAGAAAAGCACCCAAGTCCTGCCTTTCAAGGTTGCTCACAGCAACTTTCTGGACTGACTGTATCAAAAGAAAAGAAAAGCTAGTGCCCAGCCTCAGCAGCTCAGCTTCCCCAGCCTGAAGGTTTATGCTTTCCTACAAATGGCTTAGCTCACTAGCCTACATTTTTAACTTCCACTCTTGTTCCAAAACACACTGCACTTCAACTCAACTTCCTGATCCTTATTGCTGAGTTTTGTCAAGCTATAGGCAGCAAGCGCTCTAACTTGAATTAAATCCTGTTTGGGAAGGTGAAATCAGACTCCAAGAAGCAGCTCTTGTTTCAGACATCTGTCAGATGTCATTTAATTGGTCCAAAGTCTACCTGTATCTTCACTGTTCTCCAACAGTGAAGGACAGATCGAAGTAATTTGGTCTTCTTTGTCTACTAATGAACTTTTAGCATCTTCCATATTTAACATTCATCCTTTTGCTTTTTGCCAACTATGCCAGAGGGGGGGAAATTCTCTACATGGTTGCCATCTTGGCATAACATAAGAGACAGAGCAGGATGGGACAAGCAGCCAGGCACACTGAAGCCAACATTGCCACTGAAGGAACACGTGTGGAATCAGAAGCACAAAACATCTGGAAGCACAGTTATTGATAAAGATTAAATTTAGAAGCAAAATGTGAAATAATCAAGCACCAAACCATCAAGGGAAGTCCCTCTTTCCTTTACAATCAAAACCTTGCAAGAAAATACAGTCAGCTGAAAACAGTACATGAACAGCACCCATCAATTTGATTTTCTTAAAAATAACTGAATGCTCAATTCATGACCTATTCTAAGACAAGTTAAAATAATGAAAACCATATTGCACCACTGATTAAGAACCTATCAGGACAGTAGAACCATTGCATGGGATGAAATCAGCCACCATTGAACAATAAGATCACTTTCAGAAAAAGCCATTCAATTACAAGTCAAAATAATATTCAAACAGTTATAAATAAAGAAGTCTACACACAGTATAATCACTACTACTTTAAAAGGGAGTGAAGTAAAACTGTACAGTGAGATGCCCACTGACAGACCATTGGTAGTTTTCTCCAGTGTTACAAATCAGTACTGCTAAAAGACTAACAGAACCAACTGCGCCACAAAATGAACTGGCTGCCCACAAGCACGCATGTATTTTCACAATGTATCATTAAATATTCAAATATTTTACTTGGAAAAAAAAAAAAAACCCCACACCACAACAACAAAAAACTCTTAAACCTTCATGGAATAACAATGATCTATGAAGACATATTTTTTGTGTGTGCACTATGGTGCCTCTGGTAACATGATAAAGTATCAAGATGACCTTACAAATGGAAATAAAGAAATCCCTGACCTAAACCCATTATAAGCTAAGTCAGCTTAATGTTGCACAGAAAACTATTCTTAATTCTTCTGTAAAATGTCCATTAAAAATTACTTTGTGATTTTTAACACAAATACAGATCCTAATAATTTCTGAAAATGTCTTCCAATAGTTAAAGATACAGTGAAAATATTAGTTAAATATATGAGTGTAAACTTTTAAAAATACTTGCATCTCTTTCTGTTTTCATTCCAAGTAGCACCTTATGTTCACCTATGAATCGGGCAACAGATTAGCACCTTCTCTTTTTAATTTAACATTGTGCGTTATGAACTTTGCAAGTTCACATTTAAATACGGGGGGGAAATATGTGCAAATATTCTAATGTATCAGCTGATCTCTCTCACAGACACAATGAACACTTTATATATAAATGCATCTCCCACTTTGATCATGTTAAAACAGGATATAATTTTTTTCTTACTACTGTATTTTCTTAATACCTAAAGTTGATTTTTACTACAGAGACAGAGTTAATCTTCCATCTACACAGCTTGGTAAATTTAGTGTACATTTACTCTGCAAGATATACTGAACACTCCCATAAGAAGGAGTGAACAGATGTAAGACATTATCTGGTATAACTACTTTCTCCTCTTTTAATTTCTGCTAATTTTTTGCTTAACCTTAAAAAAAAATAATCTCACTTAGCAGCATCATGGTGACTGAATCAGAAGTCAAGACAATATTTAAATCAGTAAAAAAAAAAAAAAATTCTAAGTCAAAGATCCAATTACTTTCAAGTTTTATTTCTTATATTTTTCTTTTTACTCCGGGCCACTGTTTCCCAGTCCCAAGCATCTAGAATACTAGGTATATAGCAAATTAGATAATTAACACAAATAAAACAAATTTTATTTTAAAAGACCTGCTACTTGCACATGTCCCTGAAAAAGCAGAAAGCTCAAATGCACACACACAAAAAAAGTCGTGGTAGCATGGAGTTCTCATGTACAATTTGACTTCATAGTATCTTCTGACACTCACTCAAAAGATCCCAAGAAAACTGACAATAAACTGAATAACACACTACACACACTTTAAAAAAATAAAATTTAAAAAGGGGTGTGTGTGGAATTATTAGAGGTATAATTATCCCACAAAGGAGAAGCTGTAATATCGATGTTTCAGTTCAGCTTTAAAGTTTTCATGCTTGCACACCCTTTCCCCCCCCCAAGTCTACTAGCAGGACAATGAGGCTGTAGCTTTCCTGGTCTTCCAAACTGACAATGGTCAGTTGGACAAACTTAGTTAATTCAACAGCAATGACTGAGACAAAGAGCTTCATAATTTATAGCAAGGGACGGCAGAATCACAAAGAAAGCTCCTCTAAGAACCACAGTTTGACAAAAAATTTCTTTTGTTCATTCAATTTAATTTTTTTTTTGAGATTCAATGCTTGCAATCAACAAGCTGTTACCTATTTGCTTGGAGGGAAGTCAAACACAACCTATGACATCGTGGCCAAGAAGGCCAATGGCATCCTGGGGTGCATTAGAAAGGGTGTGGTTAGTCGTTCAAGAGAGGTTCTCCTCCCCCTCTATTCTGCATTGGTGAGGCCGCATCTGGAATATTGTGTCCAGTTCTGGGCCCCTCAGTTCAAGAAGGACAGGGAGCTGCTGGAGAGAGTCCAGCGTAGGGCTACAAAGATGATTAGGGGTGTGGAGCATCTCCCTTATGAGGAAAGGCTGAGGGAGCTGGGTCTCTTTAGCCTGGAGAAAAGGAGACTGAGGGGTGACCTCATCAATGTTTACAAATATGTAAAGGGTGAGTGTCAGGAAGATGGAATTAAGCTTTTTTCAGTGATGACCTACGATAGGACAAGGGGTAATGGGTGCAAATTGGAGCATAGAAGGTTCAAGGTGAATATCAGGAAAAATTTTTTTACTGTGAGGGTGCCGGAGCACTGGAACAGGCTGCCCAGAGAGGTTGTGGAGTCTCCTTCACTGGAGACATTCAAAACCCGCCTGGACACCTTCCTGCGTGATGTACTCTAGGTGATCCTGCTCTGGCAGGGGGGTTGGACTAGATGATCTTTTGAGGTCCCTTCCAACCCCTATGATTCTATGATGATTCTATGATCAACATTCATGAATCAAAACTGTACCCAAAAATAAACTTTTTAGAAAACCATTGTCCTCTTGTAGAAACATAAACCTGTTTCACAGAGCAGCACTGCATCTCAGAAAAAAGGATATTATTAAAAACAAGGGCCTGACTGGAATCTCATGACATGAAGTCTGTTACAAGTAGATGGATGGAAATTGGTTAGCCCATTGAGTATGTTCTTACACTAAATAGATAGGTATTTTAATAGTCTCTGTGAAGATGGTGGTAGCAACCCTTAACCATGTTAGCAATAAGCAAGAACTACCTGGGTCAAAAGTTTAAAAACTGTAACTAAAAGGCTTCAGAGCCTAGTACAACTTCTTAGCATCACTGAAATGGAGACAGAGGAGTTCACAGGCCTCTGTTCCTGAAAGCAGTCCTAGCTATCAACAAAAGCAAGTGACGCCCAGGATACGGTCCCTGGTGAAATACCTGCCCTTGCCTCACTTCAGACTTTGTTCCATGACACCTGCAGTCCTACCCCAGTACATCTAATCCCAAGAGAACATTCATAACTTACTATTATGAGCCAAGAAACATCTAATGACACATTAGAAAGAAATGAGGGGAGAAAGAAGAACTGGCTAGAATAGCAATCTTGACCTCCTTTAGTTTTAGGCCGAGGAATCACTCTGCTTTAGAAATAGGAACATTTGTGTATATCCATTAATTGAGGTTCACAAAATCTCTGGTGGCTGAGAGCTCTAGACATTCAAAAAAGTAAGTGATCTACTGACCACTATAGGAGTACTAAAATCCACAGAAGCTGGTTACCATGCCCTATTCATAACTTCTACAGGAGAGAAAGAAACATGGTCTAGTCAATCTAATCAATCTTCCTCTTTGATCAATGTAAATTCCAGTTATTGCATCTTGTGAGGCACCTTGGGAAGGAAGCAGTGACAGAAAACAAGAAGTAGGCCAAGATCTCATAGGCATGAAGTGATTATGGGGAGACACTACTGATGGGGAGAGGGTATAATTACTTTAAGAACGCACCTTACCTCATGTGTTGAAGTTCAGGGAACAGCACAAAAATGTAAGCCTTTACGTATAAATTGCAGTTTAAGTTGTTACAGTTTACAACAAACATTTGTTTGCCTGTGATGAAGACTAAACTAGAACTTGTCATAAAGAAGACCAGCTACAGAAG